CCTGTTATGGAGTTCATGGTTTTCCTACTCGAAACCGACGGTCGAACCGTTATGGGATTCAGTTGCTACGCCACCACACGCCGAATTAAATTATTAGCCGCCACATTAATCGCAGGTGTATGGTGTTAATACAAGCGAACATGCGAAGTAGTTGAGAAGTAGAAGACGATTCAATCGCTGGGATGATATGTTTATTCGCCTGACGTTTTGAAATCCGTTGCGGATTCATCATTAGAGACATACTCACAGAACAGTAGCAGAAACAGTTTGTGTGTGCACAGGGTTCCGCCGAAGCAAATCGCCGCTCGGGTAACAGACAGGTCATTGCTGACGCAACAAATCAGTGCACACTCAAGGCATTTATCGATCTTTTCCGTACGTTTAACTTTTACGGCGTCGTCTTCTTCTTCTCAACAGGTGTATGTAATTGATGTGATACTTATTTTAGCTGACCTCAACCGAGTCGTTAATCGTTACGACTGCATCCCTGGCCTTGCTGATGAGGCTGCTTATTACTCCGAAATTTGTCTCACCAATGGTGTTATTAAAGTTGGCATCCTCCTGCCTGTTCATAGTTTGACTACGTACGTCCAGCCAACGCCTGAGCTAGGAACAGCAAGGGAACAGATCACCGCTCTTGTTGCTAGGTTGTGGACTTCACAACCATGATTCCAGCAATCGGTGATTTGCGCAGGTGTCGTCTCCCGGAAGAATTTGGTCCTCGTCAACCCTGAGGGTGTGGCCGGATATCATGGATTATGTCAGGACATGAGATTTGACGTCTTTATTTCGTCCTGCTCTGTGTTCGACCATGGGCGTCCAGATTATTTTTTTACACTTATTCGATATAGCTGTCTGACCCCAAACCCCACCATTTAAACGTTTGACGCTGTTTTTCTCTAATTCCTTTTTCCATCACACTATTCCGACTTCGATGGGCGCTATTTTAGCTTTTTTTCTCTCGTCTCCCTGCTCTCTAGGTTTGAAGCGGGACGCTGAGGGCACAGTTATTCCCTCGTCATCAGCTGGAATGTCCGAAGACGTTAAAAGGTTTGTCCCATTGTTAATGCTTGTGCGGTTCTTCCCCTTTTAGTTTCTTACAGTATTAATAAAGTGCCTCTTTGGCTATCACTGCATCCAATGTTGCACGATCGAAAAAATTTCGTGAGTTTTCATTGTCTATTCTAGAATAACTGGTGCTTGATGGACACACTTTCTAATCGACGTAAGACGTAAGATTTTTTAGCATATTTTCACTATGCAGTCAGTACATCTTCACTGCTTACTGCCGCCGGTTATAACTGTCCATAAAGTCACAAACCAGTCTTACTAGCCCGCTAATATAAACGGTTATGCGGCCAACACTCGTTACTGAGCTAGTTCTCCACACGAAACCGGCAGCTTTCAGGCTTCCCACCCTCACTATGCCTGACTTGCAGCGCATTCCTCATTTAATTGAATCGGACCCGCCTGCATCTACCGCAGTGCACTTAGGAAACTGCAAACTGATGCACCTAACAGTAGGTTATTTAAATCATGATTTCTATTATTTTACAATTTCCATTTTATTGATTTTTTCACCTTATATGCTCCATCCATCTACGCTTTACTATCACCGGTCCCGTATTACAGAGTGCTGGAGTTTTACTTTGCTGCAGTGAGCCTGAAACTAGACTGTTACCGCCTATCGGTGTAAATGTTTCCTTCAGAACCCATCCGCATTCCGGCCCTGCTACGACACCGGACTCTTCTGCTTCGAAGACAAAGGCGCCTCAGTCCGGACAGAAGAAGACGAGCGTCAGCAGTGTTAGTGGTGGTGCTGCTGGTGGTGGCGGTGGCGGTGACTGTGGTCAGTCACGCAACAAGGTGATCCGATTTGGCACCAACTGTGACCTCTCCGATGAGCGCAAGTGGTTTCCCCAGCTGCACGAGCTCACCAAACTACCCACCTTCTTCCGCGTGACCAGCGCCTCCAATATGCTCAGTCATGTTGGCTATCCTCTGCTGGGCATGAACACCGTCCAACTCTACATGAAGGTGCGTCTCTCCCCGTCACTTTCCATCGCCCTGTTAAAATAAATCTCCGTCTCTAACCGCCTACAAAAGTGGCAGCAAAGTGTTCGGAGGCGAAACCGCTTATCTCAAGTGACCATACTCTTGCTTTTCGCAGACATACATGTCCCGTAGGCGTTTAAACACTTGTCTCAATGGTGTC